TCGGTTGTGTATTTGTACTCTCCCTGGTGTCCCCGATGAGTCTGAGTGTTGACAGTGTTTGATGCAAGCGCTCTACCAGGACGAAACCCTCTCGTCCGAGCAACGAGGCCCGTGATGGCGCCAATGACACCAGTGCCTGTGCGTGAGCTCGGCCATCCCACGGAATGATGATTGAGCATGTCTTTCCTGCACGTTCCTGCAGAGCTCTGGCCGATTGTGAGTTCGAGCTAGCGCACCTGCAGCAGGATCGGCTAGTGCTTGCTTTTTGCTATGTTCACGAGTCTTTGCAGCTTGCGAGACATCTTTTAACTTAGATACTTGACATGTGACTCCTTGCCGAAGGCAAGAGGATGCATGTCCGGTTTTTTGTTTTCCACATGCATGACACAAATTAGCTCCTAGATCCGTAGACATGGAGACAACCATTTAGACATATTTACTGTATAGATAGACTCTAGACTCCCCAGCAGCTGGGCAGCTTCAAAACAATCACGCACCTCGGCCTTCGTCAAAACCTGATGTGTCCGCAGTGACTCTGGCAGAAACCAGACGGCCGTGGCTGCAAGAGGCCTGTAAGAAGCATGAACAGTTCGCGGCACGGAAGAGCAGCACTGCTGGAGCCCAAGCTTCATGGACCTCCGGGCCATGCAGAGACAACCAAAGAAAATCGGTGCTCACTGCTCAAGGCCACACCAATTGGCCAGGACCTCATATTTGCGTCAGCACCGTCAGCACCTGCCTTCGTTTCTCTCCGCGAGCTAGGCTGGGCGGACCAGCCACTTGAAAAGGCCAGGGACGATTTCGATCGTGACACCACAGCAGAGTCCCAAACGTGCCAGTTTGTGCAGCGAATGGCCGTTAGCTTCGTTAGCTTCGAGAGATCTCAGGTCGTGAGTTTCGCTGCGGGTGATGCAGTGGGTCAGTGCGAGCCTTGGTGTCGGGGGCACGTCCGACCTCGGACCTACAAAGTCTTGGATTGGGCCCAGGTTTGTTCGAGACAAGGTTTGCGTGGGCTCAGCATGCGCCTACGCAGATTTCGTCGAGGTGACTGAGGAGTCGGCAACTTGGTGCCTCAGTTCCTGCAAAGACTGTGGACCTGCACCTAATGGTGTTGGAAACTTGCATTCGAGTCTCGCAGGCAACGCGGGTTACGATACCTTCTCAGCAAAACAAGCATCATCGGCATCATCGCTTCCACCATCATCTGGATGACTCTGTGATTCTGTATCAGATTCTCACGAGCATTCTTTGTGACGTCTCGCAAAACGTCCTAGTAGGCGAGGATGTTAATCCTGATTCTTCCTTGGGGCCGGGGCGATTCCGATCGATTCAGGTCATCGCGCACGTGCTGTGATCCGCCGGATAAAGTGTCGGCTAGAAACACCGAAGATGTAAACTCCGCGTGTTGTCGGCTTCCCTCTCGAAGCAGGCACGTGGCAAGGTTAGGGTTGAAGCATTCGTTGGCAGCAAAGTCCGTCCGCGTGACTATGCGTGACTCCTTTGCCCTCGGATATACTCTAATCCCGATCCCCCCCCCCCCCACCCATTGTTCAACAAGGAAGATCATGGGATTTTCTGACCATGTTACTCGCCTATTTCTTCACATGTGATGGAGCATTTCTGGCGCGATTTGTCTTGGAGCCCACAACGATGTTGGATGAAACTGTTGCTGCAGAGATCCATGACTCAAACCAACTGTGCGATTCCGAAGCGAAGCATTGGCTTGAAGCATGGCTGGATCATGGCGCGGCCGCATCTGGCCGCTACCACCGTTTCGGTAAAGATGCTTCGTCGTGCCTTGCGACGATTGAAGCAGAAAGTAATCTCAGCGATTACAGGGGCTTTCATCCTCACTGTGAAGCTAGCAGGAAAGACCGGTGCTGCTGTGGAAACCTGCGACAGTCAATGTGCTTGATCTACCAAGTCGGATGCGCTTGTCATTCAACTTGCTACTGCTTGTGAGACTTGCTTCAAGCGTCGTCATTGTCCCTGTAGGCTTGGCTTTCAGTAACTGAGGTCGAGGGATCCATTTGAGTCGGCGGAATGGGACGGAGTCTTCGGCCTGGCTCAGGCCCGACGCCGCCGGCACAAAGTCGCGTGTCAGTGACAAGCTCATGCCAATTTTTTCAGTCCTCGGTGTCAAGACTCCTTTTGCGCGTGCAGCCTGTGTGTTGTCGCCTGGCACCCTGCAAGTCCCTGAGCGACCATGTGGAATTCAACATCGTGCAGAACCTCCTAAAAGGACAGTCATTGCAGCTCCCATTCACTCATGGCTTGGTTTTACGATGTTTCGCATCAGGAGGTCTGAGCAGCGGTACCATGAAAAAGCCAGTATTTGCAGTGTACCTCGGGCCCTGGACTCAGACCGCGACTTATCTCAGACTGCAATTCCCAACTGTAGCCTTGCTCCGAGGCGTCAAGTTGAGGATGATGCTGAAATCACCTTTGGGGATTACCACGACAATCGCATGGCGTCGCGACCCCTGCAATCCCCTGCAGCAATCAGAGCAGAGTCTGCAAACCGCCTCTGAAGATGAGGTCTGCGTTACAGTGGGTCAATGTGTCTCAAGAAGGCCTGAGATGCGGAGATGCAGAGCTGGGCATGGTCAAGAAGCTGCGGCTTGAACTCAAAAGTTGGCTTGAGGCTACTGGCAGTTTCAGTTTGATGACATAACAGTCGATGGAAAGCCCACTGGGCTCTGTGCCTTTGGCTGCATTTGTAGGAACCCTGCTGCGACTATCAAAACTGCCGGCATGCCAGGCGCAAGGCATGGAGAGCGGCGTTGCCAGGGTGTCCTGGACACTGGAAGCTCACTCCTGCGCGGAGCTTACATGCGCACATCCTCGAACGACTAAAGTAGACTCGAACATGTGTGGCTGGCATGGTCACGGTGCAAGCCGAAATTGTATGAAGACGGCAGGATGGGCCCGAAAAAGGATCTGGATGCCATCCTCGAGTTGCTGACGTTCCAGGCTTCAAGACGAGCGCATCAACTTCCCTTTTTTCCCCCACAGCCCACCATGTTACAAAAACAAGCTCAAGCCAGGAACCCAAAAAACAACCCGGAGTTCCATCAAGACCGAAAGGGGTGCGACAGGGTTGAGGACGTTCAATCGACGCTAGGAGGACTCGATGCGATCTTGGCGACCTCCCACATACCCCGGCTGTTTGAGACACTGCTTGCCAGGTAGACCCCAAGACCAAGACACAGCATCATGAGCGTCCGCCGGTCTTGCCTCCAGAATGCACTACCCCGTGCTCCAGCGCATTTTGAAAGCTGCTTGCTAGGAAGCTACCAGGAAGGCCCATGTGAGCGTCCGCCCGTCCTGCCTCCGCTTCTTTCCCGGAGGTTTCGGTCGTCATCGTCGTCGTCGATCCTCGTGTGGACGCTCATATCCGCCTCAGCCCGGCCACCCCGCCCATGCCCATACCCCGCCCGTGACCCTCCGTAGCCCCACCGCCCGCCCGTACCCGGCGCGTACCCCGCGCATACTCCGTGAACGCTCATCCTCCGTGGCCCGTCGACGCCCTGCCCGTAAACCCTACCCTCATCCTCCACATGGCACCCCATACCCCGCCCGTACCCTCCGTAGCCCCACCGCCCCACCCATACCCTGCCCGTCCCGGCGCGTACCCCCCATAACCCTGCCACCCTGCCCGTACCCTGCCCGAACTCCACGCATACCCTCCGTGAATGCTCATGCTCCGTGCCCGTACCCCGCGCGTACCCTCCGTGAACGCTCACCCCCGCTTAGAACCTACACGAGAACCCAACATCCGAGATGTTTTTGGGAAAAGGCTTGATCGCATTATTATTATTCTAGCGAACATTCCATTTCTTCGCGTCACGGTTCGTTCTGGCATCTTGCCTGCTGCAAATTCGCTTCGAAATGCTCAGAGAGGGCGGGAATACCCGGTAGAGGTAGCAGTCAATGGTCAGAGGAAAATGAAAGTCAGATCAAGTGGAAGACTCATCTTTGAATTCATACCGCTGTGGAAGGGTGGAACTCAGATGCCGTGTGCCACATCAGCGCGATTCCCCAAGCTGGGCTTTCAGCCGGACACTCAGGCATGACGTGAGATGCAGCATGTCAGGTCGCACTTGCAAAACATATGTCACGGCACCAGGATTGGCACACAGACTTTCGAGATGGAGGCAGATGAGTACATGGATCGATCCGATCCGGAGCACTCCGATCCTCGGTTGAAACGCATGTTTTCTGGATCAGGGGACCAAGGACCCTGCCGACCACCTGTTGAGTCTCCCGAGGATGGCTCGGGCAATTGCTGGGCTCACTTGATGCCAGTGGACGACACTGGCAGAGGACATGCTTGCTACTAGCTGGGCTTGGGAAGCAAGCCTGTGAACGCACGTGCTCATTTTGTTCACAATCATCATAGTCCTTGTTTTCAGGAGCTATTTTCGTTCTCGGAATGCCTTTTCTCAGAGCCTTCTACACCGTCTATGATGTGGAGGCCCGCATATTTGTTCGTAACGAGCTGGCTTGCTTTGCTTGTCCGCAACATGTGTTTGCCAAGTTCATCTAAGTCTCGAACAGTTTGAGGCCAAAAGAATTGGCATAGCCAAGGCGAAGCATCAGTCAAAGCAGGCGCAGGATTTCTCTGTCCAAACCCCTTTCTTGGACCGTCACTCGCAGTGCAGGTCATCAGTGACTCAGTGAGGCTCGTGTCTTTGCGGCCTGCTGGCACCGGCCTTGCAGGGAAGGCCGGGAGGCCAAGCACGTAGACGACTGAACAGTGGTGGTGATTCGGAGGCAATGAGAAGACGGTCCAACGATGAGATGCCAAGGATCAATTCCTAAAAGCGTCTCTTAGGGCGTGGACCAGCAATGACAATGCGGATAGGCAAGAAGAAAGCCCTGATGCGGTGCTGCGCAACACATCGGCTTGTTCCAGTCAACCTGTCCGGAACACCATTTGACACATGCCGTACCCGGCTGGGTGGTGATGCAGCAGTTTCAGAGGACTGCATAGTGCCATGGGCCGCACTCCGAGCTGCCGTGGCGATGGATTATCAGACGAGGTGCCCTGGGAAAGTGCAGAAAGACACGTTCGAGAAGGCCGGCGCCTGAAGGCCCTGGCGCTCAGGGCCCTGAAGCCTGTGAAGCGTCCCGCTGACTGGGGCGCCGAGTTGCCGGAGGATACCGGACCATGGCTGTTGACTGAAGTCTCACTTGTGAGACGTCAGACTCACGAGGATCCGATCCTGTGCTCACAAGCACCACCGGCCGTACTGACAGGCCAGGCCCAAGCAAGCTCAAGCTCATTCAAGCTCCAAAAAGCATCAAAAAGCTCCATTCCGCCGCCCAGGCCTCGACAAGCCAAAGCCTCCAAACAGTGTGAGCGCGAAGGTTCGGCGAGCAGCAAGGAAAGGCATCTGCCAGCTTGTTCTCGGAGATACATAAATCATGCAAGAGGTCTGGAGAGTTGCCGCTGATGCCCGGAATAAAGGCAAGATGCAGCAGCAGCTCAAACACCAGCATTCCTGGGCAGCAGATGTACGCAACGGGGCGGAGGTGCAAAGCGACCTCGGATGACAGCAAAAAGTCGCTCAGTGAAAAGCTTCTCTGTCTCTCCCCCGGTGGCCGAAAGCTCGGAAAAGGGATTCCCGCAGCAAGTGCAGTGGATGTCCCATAGAACAGCTCGCCAGAGAGTCTAGCAGAAGATTGTTCCACTGCCGCTGCGTTTTAGGTTTCTAGGCTGCCATAGAATGGCTCTGCCTGTTCGACGTTAAGGCCTCTTCTGCTCGAAAGTGTGCCGATGTGCGTGCCCTCCCACTAACTGCATGATAGAGCTGATATGGCATGGGTTCCATTGCCGTCGCCGACTCAGTCCTGGGAACACTCCTGCTGCAGCAAGCGGCAACTCCATTCGGCTTTGAGCAATCCAAACATAACCGCCATAGAAGCAGACATCTTGATGGGTGTCATTGACGGTCCGAGTCCCGGCGGCTCCGAGATTGCCATTATGGCCCATCCACCTTCCAGAACATCCGACCTTTCCTTTCAAGCGTTCTTGGATTGTTGTGTCACGAACGCGAAACATCACATCAAGCTCGATTTCAAAGACCTGAGATCGCTGCAACTTTGCTTGCCACAGGTGGCTGCTGCAAGGTTACATCTCGTTCAGAACGGTCAGGTCGTTTGGATCAATGCAGACATTTTACCAGGTCCGAATCGACGGTCTCAGATCTGCCCGGTTCCTGCAACGGCCTTCTTTTCTGCCGTGCGGCAGCATTGTCCAGGAATTGCCTTGAGCCTCGGCTGGCGAGTGTCGAGAGCATATGGAGACGCATACACTGGAGAGGACGTGAAAGCAATGTTGGAAGCCTGCAAAGGCTGTGTGGCAGACCACGGTTTCGTGTTTGCCGTGAATGCACGGCTTGCACTCCGCAATTCAGAACCACTCCTGGATTTGCTGAGCCGAAAGCCTGAGAGCCAGCTTCTTCTTTGGACCGGGACTGGAGAGCCACCCATTCCTACCTGGACACGCGCTCAGCTTGCTAGATGCTTCTCCGGGATGGAACATAGAGTTGGATATGACTGTCAGGTAGCATCGTCCTGTTTTTACGGCGTGGCTTGCGAGCTCAAAGAAGTATGCATAGCCACGCTGCAGCTGCTTGTAGGGATCTTGGGCCTTGAGTGTTGAGTGACAAGAGGAGGCACCAGCGCAAGCAAGCTCATGCAAAGCCGTGCTGACAGGACCTGGTAGAGCCGTGCAAAGACCACGGGCCCCGACCTGAGGAAAGCTCGGGGCATAGTCCCGTAGCAGGATCAACGCGCAGTCTGCCTGCGATCGGGAAAAGCTGGAAGTGCTGCTGTTTGATTGCATTGCTCACTGGAGGCCTGCTCCGATGTGTTGTTGCAGTGTCAGGTTGCGCACCACCTTGAAATGCAAGCAGCTTTGAGCTCAGAAGATCCAAGCCAATCTTGGTCTGAAATATCATTCTATTGAGTCAACTTCTTTCTGGACCCTGGAGGTCTCATGCAATGTCCTACATGATGAAAGAAGTCATGAGCTCGGTGATTTCCGCAACGCAGTTTATCTTTGACTGGTACTTTGACGTCACACCGCCATCGGGATTGGCATCGGCAGGAGAAGAACCCAGAGAGAGCCTCGAAGGGCCCAAAAAGCAGTGCCAGTGACCTGCGCTCCATTCATGCCTCTATGCATCGTGCACATGGTGGTGCATGTTTGGTGGGGCTGGGTACCCGAGCGCATCTCTGGATATTTGCGAGTACTTGTAGGATTGAGAAGGTACAACATCTTGGCTGCTTTGGGCATTCCACACAAAGGCCAGGAAAGGTGGACCGAAGTGCAAGGACTGCCGACAGTTCCGGTGTGCCAGCAACCGAATTACAACACGCATCAACGCGCCCATGACTGCCAGGAGCTCCAGCATCGAACTTGCAAACACAAGTTACTGCACCAAAGGCGAGAAAGAAGCAAGTCCGCTCGCTGCTTGGCTCTGTTTCAGAGCTGCGAAGCACGAATCAAGAAACCTCAGAAGCAAGCACGCCAATTTTACCAACGTGACATCTGCTCGGCGCAGATACATACGCTCCAGGAAGGGACAGCATCCAACTCGGGATCTGCTCCGGCAGGTGCAGCTGCGCTTGGAGGGAACTCGTGCAAGACTTCCTTCACGGAATTCAGAATCCCTGCGTCTTGCCAGTTTGCGCTGCTCGCACCTTCGCGCTCCAAGAGCAAGGATGCCGTGGAGGCGACGCTCCGACGGGATGTGTCGTCTAGCAAAGCAAGGCAGCGCCGTCAGCTCTCTCCTTTTGTTTGTTAGAAGTCTTGCCCGTGGTTCCATAGCCACCTTGCACCATTGCTCTTATGTGGCAACATCTATTTCGCTGGCAGGGAACGGTGGAAGAGCGCACGGACAGTCACTCGGAGGTCAGTGGTTCTGTGAGTTGATCCGAAACTGGCGCATGTCTTTTATTTTCCCTGCATCATTTTTGTCGCAATCACCTCTGAGTTTGGCATCGGAAGTAAGAACTACTTCAGACTGCCTTTCACACATGCTTCGTTCTGTAGACTTTCGTGCGACTGCCGGTCAAAAGTGATTTTGCTACAGCCTCCTTGATCTCTGTAGCCACCTGGACTTATCTCTCGTCCAAAGGGGGGTTGGATTCATATACCCGACCCAAGGAGGGAGCCCAATCAAGGGTGTAAGCATGAAACAGAACTGCATCGCAGTGTAGGCAGTAATACGAACTGTCCTGACTGCGTCAGGTCGTCATCGTAAGAGCAACATTCCGGCTTCCGGGTTGTCGAACTGCCATAGATGCCATGGACGAAGCACCCGAATGTAGATACCATGAAGGCATAGACATGAAAGGTAGAACAAGCTGCCCAAAGTGATACGAAGGACAGTTCGCCCCAACATCAAGCGTTCGGCGACGTCAAAGAGAGCACTGTGTCGTAAGGTGTACATTGTAAATACGAATCACCGAAGCCCGGAATCACAGGCTACATGGACAGGCCGTCGGAAAACACGCCAAATGGCAAAAGCCATTGTCGATCTCACAGGCATCGCTAAACAAAAACCTGAAAAGGTAATGGAACAGTCCTGGAAAGACTGGAAGGAACGGTCACCATCTGAGAACAAGAGTTGAAGTGCAAACCACCACTCCGACCCCAAACACCTCACCGGCATTCCGAGCAGAGCTGCTCAGAATCCCACAACGGCGGGCGACCACTGCCCTACTGTAATGCCCCGCTAGAACCCTCCCCCAGTGGCCCCCTGCGTCGCGCTTCTTAGCTTCGTCCGCCGCGCAACAGTTGAGGGTTGAATTCTCGTTCCCCCACGCCCGCGCCGCACAAAAGCCGGCGCCTACCAAAGACCAAAAAGGTTCGCGACTCAGCCCCGCTAGATTTCGTCCATGCAATCCTTACATTGCTTGTGCCTTTTGCAACCACTGTTTTATACAGCTACATACTATATCCAACAGTGATAAACTCAGGTCCACGCAATCTCTGCAAAACCTTCAATGGCTTCGCAAGAACAGGTTCCAAACGGAGGCGACATTGAGTATAGATCCCTGCAGGAAGTGGCCTCTGCCCTCCATGGAAAAGCCTTTCAGGCCGACTGCTCATCCTGTCATGCATTGCCTCACACTGTTGGCAACATCATGCAGGAGTTTAAAGCGATGTACACTTCGGCTAGGCTAAGGATTGAATGTCCCAGGGCCATGCAAAGCAGAGGAACGTATAGTGCCTGAGTGTCGTCCATGCACCGGACAGTGCAGCCGAAGCCTGCTTTACCATGGAGGTGCGGCTGAAGACGATTTCCGGCAATGTGAAAGTTGCCTTCAGTGGTGCTGCAGCTCGAGCATTCTATCGAAGATCTTACCTCAGAGGCTTAGACTTCGATTCACTAGGGGTTCCAAGATGTCAATGTTTCAATTCTCGCCTCTTGCTTTGTTGAGGTCTGGGTTTGCAGCGAGGTGGCCGAGTACGCCTTCAAGGCTTCACCTCCACACGTGAAAACGACATGGAGGCTTGGCCATGGCGAGGAGCAAATCTTGTACTCCAGCTGATCGTAGAGACTGACACTCAGGTGCTGCGCTTCAAAGATGTTCACCCTGGCGTGAGCATCAAAGTAGTGGCCACAGCTGCAATGCCTGGATCTTGGTGACCGCAATGTTGACACTGCTCTTTAAAGACCCCCTCTAATTCCTTCGTCACGCTAGATTCGCCAGATGCTCCGAAACCTCAAAGCCCCTTCAGGTCACTGGAGGGCGAAGAAGTCCTGCGTTTGCAGGACTTGAAGGGGCACCTGGCCAAGGCAGGACTATTGCTGTACCGCAATGTGAGCTTCGTCTATGGACACTTCTTGAGCGCCCTTCGCAGTCAGTCGGGATGGCTCAGGTGAAAAGAGGCGAAGCGAAAGCAGTTGTTTCGGTGCAGGCCAGCATGCCGGGGATCAACAATTGCCGACAGTGACGGGACCCGAGGCGTTGGCCGGACGCGTCGGGAAGCTGGAGCGGCAAGAGCCGCATGCCCAGAGGGTCCAGGTGGTGTCAGAGCTCAGAGAGCCTCAACGAAGGCTGGCCCTTCAGCCTGGCGAATTTGTTGCCACCCGGACAATCCAGTCCGCCTCTCAGACTTCGTCCATCTCCGTCATGCGGGTCACCCCTTCGCTGCATTGCATTTCGTGTCGCTCGCAAGGCTCCATTGCCCATCATCGAATCTGGCCTGTGCGTGGCGCCTATGGGATGCACAGGCATTGGCCGTCTATGACCTGAGCAGGGCTCCGAAATTCGGCAAAATCTCGAAACATGTCAGGCAGAAAAGTTTGGAGCAGAACTACAAGGAAGCACGATTCTGGTTTTGGCTTGCATAGTTGATCGGTTGGGGGTTGTTCATCATGGTGATAAGGATGTCTTTCAATATCCTTTAACCTGCCGGCCACTTGCCAGGCCAGCCGCTCGTGATCAACGGAGCCCGTGTTCGTGAAGCGCGTGGGGAGGCGGAACTGACGGGCTGCGCCGGCTCCTCACAGTGACGAGAAGCTCAAGAAGCCTGCCCAAGCGAATTTGGTGTCACGCTGCAGTGCCACAGTTCACAGGTCAGCCTCGATGTCGAAGGCAGCAGGCCACTTTTGCGCATGCACTTCCGGCATTCACGAATGGCACAGATTCAATGCTGGTGGTCATGGCTACCCGTGTTCGGTAGTCGCAAGGACTTCAGCTTCCATTCTGAGTGCGGGGTAGAGCGAACAAAATGTCGTGGCTTCGCCAGCTCGGTATGTACAGCACGCTGTCCAGCAACAGCATCGAAGCTCTGAACACCACGAGAGCACCAGACCCGAGTCCTTAGTCCCTAACCCCGTGCCATAATCGAGTGGGGTTCGGCGGAAACCTTCTTGCGCGAAGCGCTCGATGGTTCCAAGAGCACCCCTTGCACAATTAATTCGTCAGCATTGACCAGCGATGCCGTGCCTCATCAGGTTGATGCCAACTACGTGTGATCAGGTGTTTGCATGGCGTTGCTTGATAGGGGGTCGCTGCTGACTATGTCCTCTGACTGGGGCCATTGCAGGCGCCTTTTCTCAGCGGGCGCAGGGAACCCTCGGGAATCCAGGGAGAGTGAGATTCTTCGGGATAGAAAGCCTGACATGGTGTGAAAAGCATGCTGGATCTGGACATTCCCACGTTTGTGAATCGGCTAGACGAAATTGGCCAATTGCCTGTTCTCTTGGTTTCTCAAGTTGTTAAATTGACATCTTCCGACACGGCCGTCCGACAGTCTTGCATCCAGTCTATGGCCTTGCACCGCGAAATTTTGGACCTAGGGGAAAGCAAAAACCGATAACTAAGGGCTGCAGCACGGGCTCGGCAGTATGGCGCTTAGTGTTGCCGTTCTACATGTCAATGTCCATCGCCGTTTCAGGAATCAGCCCGACATGCCACCGCCACAGACATTTTTCGAAATGCATGCTGGACTTGCCCACTGTACTTTCAGATAAAGGATTTTACAGAGAACATCAGATGAATGTTCTTGCCACATCAAGTCGCGTACGGTCAGCCAGCTCGGAGTCATGCCTCTCATCGACACTGGCATTTGAGACAAAGACTTCTTCGCAATTCGTGCTTTTGCGGAGCGGGCTATCGGCACGTGCCCTATTGGTGTTTCAGCAAACTACATGCTGTCCAGGCTCGTCACTCTCATCACTGGTAGGTGCAGCAAGTACCTCAATGAATGTGATGCAGCAACATGGAGCCATCCGGAAACACAAAAATCATGAGCTGTACTCGTGCGGAAGAGACTTCTACTTCTACGAGCCACAAGAACGATATGCTGAGGCGATGGGGGGCTCATCTTCTGCAGCAAGGTCTGCAAGCTTTCAGGAGGCAAGACAGCACTTCAAGCTGGGCAGTACCAACATCACATCTGGTTATCTGGCTTGAGCAGTGCATACTTTTCAGACTGAAACATAGTCCAGGCTGGACTTCGGAGTTTTGCACTCAGCGCGGCTCAAACTTCGACAGTGAACGTTTGGAAACGCTGAAAGCTTAGATTCTGAAAGTGATGCAGCTGCTGCCGCCAGAAGAAGACAGGACCTGCACAGAATGCCAGGGCCCGGCGGTAACGGCATTGCCTAAGTGTAGGTAATGCTGATAGAGGCAAGCTTCCATGCTGCCTTGCAATGTAAGATTTTATGGAAGTATCCTTCATCGCAGCTGTAACCACCAGCCCAGGTCTTGATGTGTTGCTATGATGACCTTTCCCACCGCTACCCGCATGTCTTCGAGTCGATCTCGCCAGGAGCAAGAAGACGAAGCCATGGCGCGAAGAATGATGCTGGAGGAGACAGGGCCCTGCCTAAGGGACGATGAGATGCCGGAGCCGGTGCAAGTATTGTGTATGTTTTTGGTGTTGTTTTTTCCGGTTTTTTCAGTCTCCTGTGCTTGAGTCAGGAGATGGCCTCTTTCGGATTGGCAGGCGCAGTTTTGGGTGCAGTGCAGACAAATCGAAACGCCCTGGTTACACAATCAGACCCAACTGGCTGGATGACTGCGGTGATATTGTGGCTCATGCTTTTTTTCAGCCATCATGTCGGACAAGGCAATGTCATGTCTCCGTCGCCGGAGTCTCTGTCAGGTGTTCATAACGAACCGGCTGCGTTTGCTGATTGCGGAATTTGAGCGAAATGTCGTAACAACCACACAACATGCGAGTAGTGCTTTGCAGGTCCATCAAGCTCCAGTTCAAGCTCCTCACGCCGGCTCATACCTGACACTTCGGCAACCCAGCTGCGGCGTCATAATGTACATCCAAGAACATTCGCAACATGACTCGACCATCCTCTCGGCACGAAAAAAACATGTCGCGGCCCGGCCAAGTTGCGAACCGAGGCGATTACTTTGCGTGCGAGTTGTCCTGCTTGTGGTGAAGCTCAGCAGTCACGGTCTCGGACGCACAACATGAGCAACACAAGATGTTCCATGATCGAAGCCTTGGACCAGCCTAGGTTTCGACCACCCCCTCATAGCACAGGAGTTGTGTCCATTCGATGCAATCGCTGCCGCGGCCTCTGTCTAGAACTTCAAGCGGTTGTGACTCCGGGCGCCCGCCAGTGCAGGCCACGAGCAATTCCAGGCAGCACTGCACATGAGATATGGAGAGAAAGCGAGAGGGAGATCGAGAGACGGACAAGCGAGCACCGGGCCAGCTCTCGTGATATTCTTTGAGTGTTGCTTGTATTCGCTTCGCGTCGTCCGCCTGGGCCCGCCCACAGCTGGAGAGTAGTCGTGGCCAGGATGCATCACGGACAGAGGTGCAAACACGGACACAGAAAGTTATGAAAAGACGGAAGCAAGGGTGCTGGGGCACAGGAGAGCCGGGCGGCGTTTGCCGGGGTCGGGAGGGGTCAAAGCATGAAAGGTCAATGAGTCCTGAGCCCTCTAAGTAAAGGGGTGGAGTCTCTGTGGGGACCTCTGACCGCTTCGGCCAGGCCCAGGCGGATTGTTCGCACTCCATCATATTGTCGTGGGATGCACGCGATTGAATTGAAACCTTCAACTTTCAATTCTGGCTCAGTAGCATGGCCAGACATCGATGCTGACATGGACAGGCATCTATTCCTCAACAGCTCGAAGCTCAGTCGGGGGATTCTCCTGCCCAAGTGGAGAGCCGCTTCGACTTGTATTGAAGCCACCTGGCGAACAGTCTGGGAGTGCAAATGATCTTGTGAAGCCACCGGGCGTCACAGTCCCGAGATGTCCCTCTCTTCTGACACTGCTAGAGCCTCAAAGGCCTAGAGTTCTACTTGTAAAGATCATCGAAGAAGTTGGCTTCGCCCGGTCATTTGGTGGATTTCGGACGGGTGCCAAGCCTGGGAATCGTGCAAAACTCTCGAAGCGAAATACGGCCCCATGCTTAAGGATCACTCCAGCTAGAGAAGTGTGCAGACATGCCTCAGCCCTATGGATTCAACCACTCAGGGCCGCAGGTGAGAATGGATTGTTGCGGGAACGCCCGGCTTTGCAATTCTGCCGACGCTGTGGCAAGGACCTCAGGTGACATGGCAGACTGCCATGCTTGGAATTTTTAGCGCTTCTCTCGAGACTGGATACCCACACGGTCTGAGACCCGACGAAAACGCCTTTTCACGCAGCCCGTGTGTCTATCTTGCAGAGGTACCCTGAACACTTTCCCGGCCTCGGCCACCGGCCAGCCGCATAGAGTCAGCTGCGGAAACTGCGGCAACGTCACAGAGGCTGCGGCTTTGAGATTTGTTATGTTTTAACATGCTATCAAGCTGGGGGAGAGACACTGCCATGTTGCCCTGGAGCCCTTGCAGTTTGAACCACGGCGCGCGAGAGGCGTGCCCGCAAGTTCCAGCCTGCAACACTGCATTGAAGACACGTGTGGATGGAGCAGCTACCAGCACAAGGGATGCTCTTATTTCTCCCGGCATGTCCAGAGCCTACTGAAGCGCACCTGCCTGTCCTGCTCAAGGTGCGCTAAGTGGTGCACAACGAAGCGAGGGCCAGCGAGCACTGCTAGAAGCGCCGCGTGCTAAGACTCTTGGAGAGACGTTGCATTTCCGTTTGTCGTCACATGTCTACGGCAGCTCTGGTAACAATAAGGATTTTCAACGACCGTCAGCTTATGCAAAGCATGAATGGTCCAGTGGGTGCGAGCCTGACGGGCAGCCGTAGACAAGAAGCTTCTTTTCTGTTGTACCAGCTGCTGTGCTGCAGTCCGCATTCCAATGGATGGCCAGCGGCAAGCTGTCCCATTGGTAGCACAGCCTCACTTACGAACGCAGCATAAAAAAGAATTGCATTCGTCAGCCGGCTCCCCAACGTTCTGCCTTGTGCAGCATGCATGGCAGGCACTGCTTGCTGCGCTGATGGCTGCAGCAGATGTTGCCTGTCAGCAATTTCGTCGAAGATACACTGACAGGACTGGATAAAGAAACGACGAACTCCTCATTTTGTGTCGGGTGCCTTCCATTCTCAAGTATGCAGCTCTCCATCGAATCTCCCGGTATGCGCAGGAAACAAGAAATTTGCCCCCTTAACTTCCTAATTTGGTGGTGTTGGGCCGGTTGGGCCACAATCAAGTGTCCCACATCTCTCTCGTTTCCTGCCCCGGAAGAGGCTATCGGCTATCAGTGCTCCGGCCCTTCGGTTTCATGTGTTTCTGAAAGTCTTTGGCGTTATTCGACTGGTGCCGTTTCCATTCCTGAAAACGCCTGCAGCCTTGCAAAAGCCTCTCGATGCCTCTCGAATCATTGCAGGATGACCCCTCTCTAGGCCAGCTGTTTTTGTCGCTGTCGAAAATTTGGGATGCCAATCTGCCAAGGCAGATAAGTCCAACCCAGCCAGACGAGCCTTGGCTGCATTCAGAGACGCAGAGCAGATGAAGACTGCTCGCCATACATCGCCATATGTCTCCTGGAAGGTACAGATGTTGCTTTGTTGCCCACGTCCTCGCCTTAAAATTTCGACGCATAGTCTCTCCCTCACCCAAGTCAAGAGCTCTCCAGTCCAATGGAGTCCCCATGTCACCGAGGCGCAAATTGGATAATTTGGATCATCTTGGCGACCAGACCAAGTCCGCATCCCACTTTTCTGGTCTAAAGTACCATCAGTATCCATGAACGTTAGCCAGTGTCGAGGCTGAAGGCTGACCGGTCTTGCGATTTAGGTTCCGCAAGAAGATACAAGAAGCGCGATTGGTGAAGTTTAGTTTTCAACAACTCCCAATGCTTGTAACAATTGATGGAAGTTCGACGTGCATCTCAAGCCCTTGGGGGCACGGCCTGGGCTTTCCCACAAACTTAGGTGTCGGACTCATGTGTCAGTGTCATCTGGCCAAAAGTTCTGCTTGATGCTAGACTATGTCATACTAGGTCACCGTCTTGATCGTAAGTTGAACCTGGCAGGTGCCTGGTTTGCCTGGAAGAGTTTGCAGATGGAGATGAGGTAAAGACGTGCCTTGGCTCCATTTGTTGTCGTCTCAACAACCCTCATACAGTGGACACACGTTTTACTGTGGCAACATTAAGGCTGCCATGCCTGCATTTCTACCATCAGAGGCAGGCAAGATCAAGGCCTCATGGCCTGATGGAGACTCGACCTCGCGCCTTTCTGGCAGGTGTGTCGATCAATGGCTTGCCACGGACAACTCCTGTCCGGTATGCACGAGGCCGAGATCATAGCATCAGGCTTTGGCTTGATCTGACACATTTCAGGCAAGACCCCGATCGACCAACCGGAAGATCCTCCGTCCTGATCCAAATGCTTCAACTACATCTGCGATCATTGAGCAAAAAAATGGAGCGACTCTATCGACCTGGCAGGGATTGGACACTAGTATGCATCCGTGCACATGTTTATTATCGAAGCCTCGGGCGATCCGAGAAGTGTGAAGACTGCGTTTCAATTCAATATTTGCTTCACGGCTTCACGGCTTTCGGGACCTGTGCAACCCAGAGGAGTTTCCTCATCTGAGTCAGCGTCTTACTGTTGGACACAAGAACTTGGGCGCATCCTTGAAGCTTCTCTGCAAGAAGCAGCAACGAGGCTAACATTCGCGCTTTCGGTGTAAATATAAGACAGAGAGTTCTGTGAGTTGTGTTTGATTCATGTAGAAGCGTTTAAAAGGAAACTAATGTTTACGGGCATGGTTCCCCGTCTCGTATCAGAGGGACAGGCGAGGGTAGTCGAGGTCGTCATTGTAGTTCTATGAGATATGAACAAGAATCATGCGATAATCTGCGGCCCGGATTGTGAATGTAGTATGGCCCGGGCAGGGGCTGCAAGTATAGATATTCATTCGGCCTCGTGAAATTGTGGAGAACAGGTGCGGGAATTGAAGTAGTTCTAGCCCTGGAACATCTTGCCAGGTTCAATGAATTTGGTCGTATGGCATAGGGCACAGACCGTTATATATGACGTGCCAAGACCGGAGGGAGCTTTGCCAGCTGGAATCTTCGAGCACGCAAACCGCCTCCTCGGCAGCGTGCAGGCAAGCGGCAACAACAGCCGGAGCTATAGTGAACTCTGCAAGATCCCTGGCGGCGAGGTGGGGGCGGCAAGGCAGTATGTCGGTCCAAGCGATCCAGTAAATCGTGGGGGCAGTGCATCCGAAATCTTGTGATATCTTGCAAATGGAATCTTAGACCGAGTCGCCCAGGTGCACGAGCAAGAAGTGTCGCCAGACAGTATCATTAGAAATACGCACGAAATTGAGAGAGATCAAGCGGCAGAACACACAAGAAAGGATTAATTCGTCGAGGAGGAAGAAACGAGCAGCTGAAATTATTTTCTAAAATCGAAGAAAAATAACAATTCAAGAAAAAGATTGTAATTTTTTCTTACAAAAAATTAATAATTAATTATTACCGAGAAATTTCATGAAGAGAGAATTTAATATTTTTATTCTTGAATTCTCTTTTTTAAGATATTGAATATATATGATTTATCATAGTAAGAAGTATGAGTTATATATAAAAAAGAATAATATTTGGATTTATATTTGAGACTTAATAAAAAATACACTACGTAATATCGGTAAAAGGAGTTATTATTATTATTAGTACTATTATTCTTATTACTGTTATTGTTATTTGTTATTATTACTATTATTATTATTACTTCTATTACTATTATTATTACTACGATTATTATTACTACTACTATTACTAGTCGTATTATTATTTGTATTCAGCATAGATCCGAAAATAATTTAAATTATTTGTATATAATATATAATGGCGGTTTAAGGGGAATACTTCGAAATCGATTAATATTTTATTACTCTTACGTGATAATAAGAGGAAACTCTACTTGAGTCTTTTATACGAAATGTCCAAATCGGATTCTGGACTTATTATTTGCTAATTGGTCTATTAAGGCTCTAAGCTGGAAAAGTCTTTAAAATCTTGTAATTATGGGCTATAGTCATAATAAAGACTAATCCCTATATATATATATATAAGTTAATATTTAAAAAAGAATTTTATATTAATAATCGCAAAATTCCTTTTGGTTACGATATTTAGATGTGTTTCTATCTCTGGGCCGGTT